AAGGCTGGGATGTTCAATTTGGTAAAGTAAATCCGTTGGGCATCTTTCTTGGCCTTTAGACAATAATTCTGATGGCAAAAGAACCAAACAGGACAGGCAAAAAAAAAAAGGCATAGCATACATTTTCACTGCTATGCAGATGACACCCAGCTTTATCTATCCATGGAGCCAGATCACACACACCAATTAGTTAGACTGTAGTAATGTCTTAAGAAGCTCATAAAGATGTCTCATACTGACCTTGATGACCTCTAATTTGTTTTTGCTTCTAGTATCAGAAAAATGGTATCTAACTAGATGCTTACTCTGGATGGGATTACCTTGGCCTGGATGGCATCCTGGATTTAGGATAGGTACTTCTTCCACAATTGTAAAAAGTTAATCAATATTTGATCAGAGCATGTGTTCACTGTCATCAAAACAGTGATCAGTAATTTTACTAATAACCAGGGAAGTACAGAGCAGAAACAGCTTTTTAATATTGTTCTTGCTCGTACCTTTCTGAACACTTTTAAGATTTAAAATAAACAAATATATAAACTTATTAAACAAAAATTAAAAGAATTTCAAGGAAATTGTGCAAATATTTGTCAGACAGCTGATAGATGTGTGATGTTTCCCTGTGGTCTGCAAGTCCAGGCCCAGAGACCAGACTGATGGATCTAAAACAGATATAACTAAAGTTAATCCAGTGGTTACCTGCACAGAGATAACCACAAAGCATAAAAAACTTAGCTGCTGCAAGCTAGGTGTGCTACGAGCTTGCTGTGTAATGTAATATAATATAAGATTTACACAGCATGATCAGACACTTGTTCAGACCAATGAGCTACTTACTAAAGATGTCCAGACCCTTTTCTTTCCAAGCTCCTTAGACTATTAAAGAAACCCTGTCACATCCTTCTCTTCTGTCCACTCCACAGATTGTCTGTTCAGGTTCATCTAGGTAATATTTCAGGCTCTCTAAACTCACAGTTAGTGGAGCTCTGCAGCCAGATGTCTAAGAAACAATTTTACCTTTCTTAGGAATGCTGCATGCTTAAATCATAGAAGCTATGTAACCACAGAAGCTATGTAATTAAATCATAGAAGCTATGTAACCACAGAAGCTATGTAATTAAATCATAGAAGCTATGTAATGCTATGTAATGCTGTGCAACAAGCACAGAATTACACAGCATCAATGGGACAGCAGTGCAGAGGATTCAGAGCTTGTCTTGGAATCCTCCGGTTTAAAATATTGTTTCAACATTAAAGTCACACTTTTAAACTGCATTTGGTTACAATTTGAAAAATAAAGCTTGGAACAATCAAGTTATTGTTTGGTGTGTCACTGAATGACACACCAAACAATAACTTGATTGTTCCAAGCTTTATTTTTCAAAATAAAGCTGGATGGATAAAGCATTTCTCCACTTGAGAAATGCTTGGAGTGAAGAACTGGCTACTAACATCACTAAAGATCAATGGACTAAGGCACAAGAACTGGTTCACTCCACTTCTGTCTGCTGCAGGCACGGACTACTACAATTTAAGGTCTTGCATAGGCTCCATCTGTCTAAATTGAAGGTTTCAAGGATGTTTCCAGGGGCTGA